GCGGTCATAATATTTTTGCATGCTGTTTCCACTAAAGGCTTACTATTTCTATAGAATTTATGCCCGGCGAAATAACATAGTGAAATCATCTGTTTTGACATAAATAAGTTGAAATTGCTGTTTTATATATGTATCTGTTAAGCCTTTCCAAACAGCGTGGAGATTGGGTAGCTGATTTATTGCTGCGGGTTTCAAGCCCAATCTTCCGTCGGGAGAAACTCATTCTGGCATGTTGTCACAGTTACTGATTTCTTATCGTAGAATTGTAGGGCTGGAAGGGGACCTTGGAGATGATCTAGTCCATCCCTTGCCCAACGCAGGAGTTCAGTTCCATTCCAGACAAATGGATGTCCAATCTCTTCTTAAGAACCTCCAGTGATGGTGCAGCCATAACTTCTGAAGACAAGCTGTTGTATTGGTTAGAATAGAATAGAATAGAATAGAATAGAATAGAATAGAATAGAATAGAATAGAATAGAATAGAATAGAAGGAATGAAATAATTAGAATATAGTAGAGTAGAGTAGAGTAGAGTAGAGTAGAATAGAATAGAATAGAATAGAATAGAATAGAATAGAATAGAATAGAATATATGGAATGAAATAATTAGAGTAGAGTAGAATAGAATAGAAATAAGAATAGAATAGAATAGAATAGAATAGAATAGAATAGAATAGAATAGAATAGAATAGAATAGAATGGTTGCTGGAATTGGGTATGTCTAGTTTAATGAAGAGAAGGACGAGGGGGGACATGATAGCAGTGTTCCAGTATCTCAGGGGCTGCCCCAAAGAAGAGGGAGTCAAGCTATTCTCCAAGGCGCCTGAAGGCAGGACAAGAAGCAAAGGATGGAAACTAATCAAGGAGAGAAGCAACCTGGAATGAAGGAGAAACTTCCTGACAATCAGAACAATTAACCAGTGGAACCACCTGCCTCCAGAAGCGGTGAATGCTCCAACACTGGAAGTTTTTAAGAAGAGACTGGACAGCCGTTTGTCTGAAATGGTATAGGGTTTCCTGCCTGGGCAGGGGGTTGGACTCGATGACCTCCAAGGTCCCTTCCAACTTTATTATTATTATTATTATTATTAGAATAGAAATAGAATAGAATAGAATAGTTTAGTTGGAAGGGACCTTGGAGGTCTTCTAGTCCAGCCCCCTGCTCAAGCAACACCCATTTGTTAAAAAAAATAATAAAAAAAAATACAATTCTCAGCTCGCCTTCGCCAACCTCCACCAATCTCAACGCCCTTGAGAGGCATCGGACCGCAGCTGAGGAGACATTGACCTACCCTAGCTGGGAAGAAGAATCCGGCCACTGCGAAAACCTTTTGTGCCGTCCCATGACATTTACTCAGTCGTGAATTAGCTTACAAGGGCCTGCTCGTCCTTTGTTTTTTATCTGGACAGGTGTGAAATATTGCTTAGGTACCAGAACGCCAGCTTGTCTCCTTCAGGGCTGAAGCTCTTCCCCGCTGTAGTAATATTTCTCCTCTGTGTAAGCAACCGTCATTGCTCTGGGATGTAAAACGGGCCTGACGATTTCCCGTGTAACATCGCTGGAAAGGAAGGCACATCGCCCAGTATCTTTTTCTTGTACAGACAAGGATTGTTTGCGCTTTCAAAGTCTGTTTGTTTGCTATCAATTACCAGCAGGGCACCGGCTGAATTGATCCTCGAGGGCTCTTAGCTCATTTTAAATTCGAAGACGTGGACTGTTTTCCAAAAAGCTGGGCGTCAAGACGAAGCGAGACGAAGCGAAGCCTCTGGATCTGTGTTTCCTCCTGTGCATTTTATTTTGTTTTGTTTTATTTATTTTGCATATCTGGTCTTCGACTTAACGGGTGTCCATTTAACATCCCTTCCAAGTTTCAACAGCCCTGAAAAAAGTGACTTACGACTTAACAACTATCAACTATCGTAGTGTCCCCCGTGGGGTGTGTGATTAAAATGGGAGGGCTTGGCAACTGGCATGTACTTGAAACAGTTGCATCACGTGATCTCCGTTTTTCGACCTTCCCGGCCCGGCTTCTGAGAGGCAAAGTCAGCGGGGAGAAGCTGGGCTCGTTTAACGGCCGCGATTCACTTAACAGCATCAGGGGTTTTGCTTAACAACCGTGGGGGAAAAAGTTTGCCAAATCAGGCGTGACTCGCTTTTACAGCCACCCTGTTTAGCGACGGAGGTTCTGTTCCACAGAACCTATTTAGTTTTTGTTTTTTTAAGGCTCTTGAATATTTAGCTTCCTCGGTTTCGGCTAAAAGAACTTCGTTTTTCTAAATCATGTTAACAAAATGGAGGCGAAAACATATAAGGAACGGTTGCTGGAATTGGGGATGTCTAGTTTAAGGAAGAGAAGGACGAGGGGGGACAGGATAGCAGTCTTCCAGTATCTCAGGGGCTGCCCCAAAGAAGAGGCAGTCAAGCTATTCTCCAAAGTGCCTGAAGGCAGGACAAGAAGCAATGGATGGAAACTAATCAAGGAGAGAAGCAACCTAGAACTGAGGAGAAACTTCCTGACAGTGAGAACAATTAACCAGTGGAACAACCTGCCACCAGAAGCTGTGAATGCTCCAACACTGGAAGTTTTTAAGAAGGGACTGGACAGCCATTTGTCTGAAATGGTGTAGGGTTTCCTGCCTGAGCAGGGGGTTGGACTAGATGACCTCTAAGGTTCTTTCCAACTTTACTGCTGCTGCTGCTGCTGCTGCTGCTGCTACTACTACTACTACTACTACTACTACTATTATTATGATAGATAGATAGATAGATAGATAGATAGATAGATAGATAGATAGATAGATACTGTAGATAGTGTAAGATAAACCACCATTTAATACAAACCACTGTTTACTGTGTTTACTCCTGGGTTATCTCAGCGCAATAAGTCTGTGCACGCTCCGACATAGAACAATTAAATCACTGGAACAAAAGTTGCCTCCAGAAGTTGTGAAGGCTCCAACACTGGGCTCTTTCTTGTTGTCTTCAGCTTTTTTTTTTTACTCTTCAGATGTTTTCAGTGGCGTTAAGTGCTTAATGACATTGAAGTGCTGTTTATTAAGCCCACCGTTCAACCATTGACTTTCTTTGTCTATCTTTTTCCAGTTTGGGGATGGCAAAAGGCCCTGAGGTCTAGTAGTCCCATATCAAGACCTCACAAGCTTTCCCACTGTGAGAAGCAGAGTGTTATAGGTGGTCCGCGATGTTTTTCACATTTGGCAAATTTAAGGTGTCTGGACTTCCCCTCCCAGATGTGTGAAGGCCACACATACCCTTTTTTTTGCTAGTGACACATCCAGAGATTTCCAGCAATATTACTCTTATAATAATTGCTGTAGTAATTGCTAATTGCTACTGTATGCAGTGCAGTGCATCGCAGTATGATTTACCTGCAGGTGGGCAGTTAATTTTCCCAAGGGGGAAAAAAAATTGTGTCTGTTGTGGCAGGCCAAGCTGATAGGGCTTTGAAAAATCGATAAATTGCAAAAAAAAAAAAAGAAAAAAGAAAAAGTAGAATTCACCTTCAAAATAAAGGCAATCCCTGCAGGTCGGACAGGAACAGCCAAAGGGCCGGATGTGCCACATAATACAGGCCCTCCTCGACTTATAACAGTTCATTTAGTGACCGTTTGATAGTGAAAAATGTGACTTATGTCCGTTTTTCAGACTTACGACCGCTGCAGCATCCCCTGTGGGGATGGTTGACAACCTGGTTCATATTTACGACGGTTTGCAGCGTCCCGGGGGGGATCACGGGATCCCTCTTTTGCATCCTTCTGATCAAGCAAAGTCCATGGAAAAGTCACATTTGCTTAATTGTGTTATTCATTTAACAAGCCCAGTGATTCGCTTAAGAAACGAGGCAAAGAAAAGTCGTAAAAAGGGACAAAACTCAACTTAACAAATGTCTCAGCTACTATGTTAACATGGAGCAGGGATTTTGATCTCAATTTTGATCTGCACATCTGGCAGGAATTATGGGTAAGAAACAGGAAGCTTACTCTGGCCACCTCTTACAAAGAAAACCTCTACAAAATGTTCTACGGGTGGCATCTCCCACCCGTAAGAGTAGCCAAAATGGGTCCAAATGTCTCCTCCAAATGTTGGAAATGTAAATTGGCAAAAGGGACATACTATCATATGTGGTGGGAGTGCCCACGAGCCCGTGACTTTTGGAATAAGATTAAAAAAATGGCTGGAAGAAATATTAAAGCTAGTGGTAGAGTTAAAACCACAACTCTTTTTACTAGGCATAACCATGCAGAAACACAACAAAGGAGTGTTTTATTTGACGTTGCACATTCTCAACGGCTGCTAGATTGGTGTATGCTCAAAACTGGAGGAATAAAGGAATTCCAACAGAAGAAGAGATTATATATAAAATTTTATCGTGTGCTGAAATGGATAGGCTCACAATGGAAATGAAGGATAAGACAGAATCAGACTATTTCGAGATCTGGGACAAATTTTATCACTGGTGTGAAACGAGGAGATCTGCTCGGGTTTTAAATTAGCGTTAAGATAGAATGATATATAACTGTATATATAACTTTATTGTATAGAAGAATATGTTTATATAGAGATCAAGAATTATGTATTAATTATATGTATCAAGAGGAACAAATTGTTAGGAATATTTATTTTGGAATGTCACGTTACGTCCATCTTTGTTTTTAACTGTATTATAAATAAAAAACGTTAAAAAAACAAAAAAACCCAAATGTCTCACCTACATTCTGGGCTCGTAAGCTGAGGGCTGCTTGTACCCAGGTCTGTTCTTAACCCTCGTTCTGCTTTTAAAGCCATCCCTGCATTTTCTGGTAGTGGCAAATTGTACAATTGCGACATGCACAAAATCATTAGGCTTAATTCAAGGTTTGCAACAACAGACACACACACACACACCGCCTCCTCCCTCAATTCTTTCTTTCTTTCTTTCTTTCTTTCTTTCTTTCTTTCTTTCTTTCTTTCTTTCTTTCTTTCTTTCTTTCTTTCTTTCTTTCTTTCTTTCTTTCTTTCTGCCTTTTGCTCATTTTTGCCGTCCTTCTGCTGTCCCTCTATCATTCTTCTTTCTGAATTGCGGTGAGCAGGCCTGTATAATTCCAAGCATAACTGCGCCATTTCGTTCGTAAGAAGGGGGTTAATCATCCTGACCCTTTTATTTTTAGGGCATTTTGGCTAGCCTAAATTTGTAAGTCATAACGGAGTGTTACATCTTTAGTTTTCTTTTTTTTTTTTTCCCCACAGGCTTACCGGACCTTCAGGATACGTAACGGATGGGCCGGGAAATTACAAATACAAAACAAAATGCACCTGGCTGATAGAAGGAAAGTGAGTAACACAGCTTGGTTATTTTTATGGAACTGAGTTGTCCAGGATTTTATCATTCTTTTATATAATGAGATTGCTGTTCAATTTGTTTACTTCCCCCCCCCCCTCTTTGTTGCAGTGCTATCTTAAGCTTGGTCTCTTTAAGATGAGTGGACTTCAACTCCCAGAATTCCCCAGCCAGCATAGCTGGCTGGGGAATTCTGGGAGTTGAAGTCCACACCTCTTAAATTTGCCACGTTTGAGAAACTCCATTTTGTATGTGCACATAGAGGTGGACTGAAGAATCTGGAGTTGTGTTCTGATGCAAATAAATGTGAAATTAAGCATCCAAAGAATCTTAAGGAGGAAAAATCTTGGAGAAGGAAGACCTGGACAAGTCAGAAATTAACCCTTTGAGGGTGAAAGAACTTGAAAGAGTACACAAGTAGTCCTTGACTTACAAGCATTTGTTTACCCAAAAATGCTTTTTTACGAGGCAACTGGACTTTCTTCTTGTTGTTGTTTTTGAAGACGTTTCGCTTCTCATCCCAGAAGCTTCTTCCGCTCTGACCGGATGGTGGGGAATGGAAGGATTTATACTCCTTGAAGACCGCTGGTCATTTGCCTCCTTTTAGAGAGTCGTTGAGACCACTTGGAGGTTTACCTGTGTCCTCAGGGTCACCTGAGTAGTGCAAATGGATGTGGAGCCATCTTGGAACTGCTGAAAGAACTGTGTTGTGGACAGGAGGTAGATGATGATGGTCTAGAACAGGGGTAGGCAACCTTGGCTCTTTTATGACTCGTGGACTTCAACTCCCAGAATTCCTGAGCCAGCCATGCTGAGGGGAAAGGGAGAGGTTTCCAAGCTGAGCCATGCTGGGTCAGGAATTCTGGGAATTGAAGTCCAGAGGTCATAAAGGGATCATAGTTCCCTATACTGGCTCAGGAATTCTGGGAGTTGAAGTCCACGAGTCATAAAAGAGCCAAAGTTGCCTATCTCTGGCCTAGGCCTAGGCCGCTTTCTGACCCGTGGACTTCAACTCCCAGAATTCCTGAGCCAGCCTGGCTCAGCTTGGAAACCGCTCCCTTTCCCCTCAGCATGGCTGGCTCAGGAATTCTGGGAGTTGAAGTTCACGAGTCATAAAAGAGCTTAGGTTGCCTACCTCTGGCCTAGGCCTAGGCCTCTTTATGACCTGTGGACTTCAACTCCCAGAATTCCTGAGCCAGCCATGCTGAGGGGAAAGGGAGAGGTTTCCAAGCTGAGCCATGCTGGCTCAGGAATTCTGGGAGCTGAAGTCCACGAGTCATACAAGAGCCAAGGTTGCCTACTCTAGGCCTATTTGTATTTTACTGTGTTGGAAAGAGTTTGAAGTCAGTATCTCCCCCCCCCTTTTTTTTTAAATCCTGTACTTCCCCCTTTTAATATTTATTTTCATTGCAATTTATCTTGTACTAAAGCTCAATAAAAAAGTGTAAAAGGGGAAGAAAAAAAGAGAAACACCACTTTAAAGAGGTGTAATAAAACTGCGGGGGAGTGGTTGGGAAAACTTGGGTAGCAAGCAAAATACTCAAGAAAATACACTTTGAGTAGCCTTGAACACATCTCCTTTGGTAAACTCTAATCTACTGATAAATTTAGCCCAACCACCTTAGTCCTAACTCCAAAGCCATGTTGTCAACACTGTTGCATTGACAACAGATGGAAGTGTAGCCATTTTCTTCCTTTTGCTTTTAGAGTTAGATGATGCTGGGGAGGGAGGGATGTGAACGAGAGTCCAGCTAGACATAACAACACTAGACCTAGCGTGAGAATCAAGGTTGTTGAAATCAGAGATGATAAGAATTGGCAGGCTGGAGAACTGGAGGGAAAACCTGCATTTCAAACTAATTTATGTGATTTATGACTGTCAATTGGAGGAGGAAATTGTGCTTTGAAACTATGCGCCCAGGGGAGGGGAATTCAGTTTTTGGCTTCGATTATGTAAGTGCCGATATTACACTACTCGAATAAAAGATCATTTAAGGTAAACAATGCCTTGAGGTTCTTTCGAAGAGTTTCATCTGTCGGAACCACGACACGTGTTCCCAAATCATGTACCTTACCAATCGGACGTAAATAAAATGCAAACACTGGATTTCGTTGCCAGTCCTGCATGCAACATGCTGTGCAAATTGGAAAAGTTACGCTGATGCATTTTTATTTTTTATTTTTTTGCTTTTGGGAAGGTTTTCACATGTTTTTCCTTCTTTCCAGGCCCAACACGGTCTTGAGGCTCCGTTTTAATCATTTTGCAACAGAGTGCAGCTGGGATCACCTTTACGTCTACGACGGGGACTCCATCTACGCTCCGTTGCTGGCCGCTTTTAGGTAAGGGAAGGTGGGAAACCAGAACTGCTGTCGCGCAACGCGAAGGTCACCGTTGCCTTTTTTGGGATTTAAAGAAGCGGACGTTTGCGGATTAATTTTTTAAGCAGCTGCCCGCTTGGTGTCCCGCGGAATGAGCTGTTGGAGGTGCCTTTTCATCTCTGGATGCTCTTGAGGGTTTATCCTAGTTGGAGACCAAGCATTGCCATGGGAACGGGGACATTTCGCACAATATTGGGCGAGGGAGGCCGAGAAAGAACTGGGAGAGCGGGCTGGCATTATTTTATGTTTATCTGTTTTCGATTGGATTTGCGTTTCTGTACTTTTCGTCCTCTCCGAGGTGATCTAGGAGAAAACACAACACGGAGGGAAAACAGCCTTAAAATTAAAGCATCACAATAACACGCCTAAAAACAGAACAAAACAAAATTTAAAAAAAAGAAACAGAGATGCAAAGGGCGGCATAAAAAAACAACCAACAAACAAACCAGAATCTGATTCTGCAATTTTTTGTTATCCTACCAGTGTAAACCAAATCTGCTCTGAGTTAGAATAGAGCGGATAAACCGCGAGTAGGTTCATTAGATAGGTTCAGTCTTAATTCGGCACAAAGAAAGGTCAACTGAAATAAATGGAAAGAAAAAAAGAAAAGAAAGAGAAGGGGAAGGAGGGAAGAAGGTAGGCAAAAAGGGAGGGAGGGAAGGAGGAAGGAAAAGGATGAAGGAAGGAAGGGTAGATGGGAGGGATGGAAGGAAGGAAGGAAGGAGAACAAAAGAGATGGAAGGAAGGAAGGAAGGAAAGGAAGGAAGGAAGGATATATGGGAGGGATAGAGGGAAGAATGAATGAAGGAAGGAAGGAAGGAAGGAGGGAGAAAGAAAAAGAGTCGAAAAAAAGGGACTCGTGGCTGTTTTTCACACTTAGGACTGTTGTAAACATCCCCGTGGTCACGTGATAAAGATTCAACTGCTTGGCAACTGGCTCCTATTTATAGGTTTTGCAGTGTCCTGAGATCATGTAATAATAATAACAACAACAACAACAACAACAACAACAATAATAAAGTTGGAAGGGACCTTGGAGGTCTTCTAGTCCAACCCCCTGCTCAGGCAGGAAATCCTATACCATTTCAGACAAATGGCTGTCCAGTCTCTTCTTAAAGACTTCCAGTGTTGGAGGAGGGAGAAAAGGGAAGGAGAAGAGGAAGGAAGGAAGGAAGGAAGGAAGGAAGGAAGGAAGGAAGGAAGAGGTGCATTTTGTGGTAGATCCCTCTGTCCATTAGCTTTTATCTCTGTTAACACAATATGTGACAACCAATGTTGTACCCGCACGGTACACTAAGGCTGTTAGGTTTCCTGTCGAATAGTAGCATCTGCAGTCATAAAAGAGCCAAGGTTGCCTACCCCTGGTATAGGGTTTCCTGCCTGAGCAGGGGTTGGACTAGATGACCTCCAAGGTCCCTTCCAACTTTATTATTATTATTATTATTATTATTATTATTATTATTATTATTATTATTATTACATGATCCCAGGACACTGCAAAACCTATAAATAGGAGCCAGTTGCCAAGCGGTTCAATCTTTATCACGTGACCACGGGGACGCTTACAACGGTCGTAAATGTGAAAAACAGCCACGGGTCCCTTTTTTTCCAGTGCCGTTGTAATTTCGAACGGTCACTAAATAAACGCTTGTAAGTCGAGGACTCTCTGCAGCCTGCCTGACGGAGTAAAATCGACATTTCTTTTTCGACACTAGCAAGAAAAAAATCCTGCAGAGGTTTCGAGTGGCCTTTTCATCCGCCCAGGTATAATGAACCCGACGAAGCTTGGCTGTTTTTATTTACCTCACGGATTGATGGGAATTTAATTGGCCCCCTGAGTAATTCCGGCACCTACCCGACGGCGTTGTAACCTTTCTCGGGATAAACACCTGTTGGTTTTCCTACACGCTGTTTGAGAGATTGGCTGCCTGCGCTCACTCACTGCGACGTTCCCTCCAAATTGAAAGTGAAGAAATCTAAATAAAAGTTAATTTAGGGCTGAACAAAGCCACCGTAGCAGCGTGTGGCGTTTTTCGGCGCCAGCTCTTGCTGAATGTACTTGTAAGCTGCCCATCTTCCAGGGGGCTCAGCTTGAAAGAGTCGAGGGCCCGACGTAAGTGGCCCATAAGGACGTAAAGTGTGTATCTGATGCGCAGGAAATAAAAGGCCTTTTGAAAGTATTGGTCTAGATAGCTTTCCTTCAGCTGAGATCCCCAGAGGTGCACCCAGCTAGAAAGAGGGAAGCCATTAGTCACACATTAGGCCTGAAAGCCGGCTGGGTGACTTTGGGCCAGTCACCAGGAGACGGTGAGTTCTAGTCCTGCCTTAGGCATGAAAGCCAACTGGGTGACTTTGGGCCGATCACTAGGAGATGGTGAGTTCTAGTCCCGCTTTAGGCATGAAAGCCAGCTGGGTGACTTTGGGCCGATCACCAGGAGACGGTGAGTTCTAGTCCTGCCTTAGGCATGAAANCCTCAGTGTTTCTCAGTTCCCAGAATTCCCCAGCCAGCCTAAAGCCAGAACCTTCACGGAACTTTCTAGAAATGATTTAAGGCTGAAACACTCTGCTTTTTCAAACTAGTACCCTGGACTTCCTTGTTTTTCTTTGAAGACGTTTCGCTTCTCATCCCAGAAGCTTCTTCGGCTCTGACTGGATGGTGTTGGGGGGGGGGTGTTAGGGTCACCTTTTTTTTTTTTCAGCGTCACTTTGAACGGTCACGAAATGAACCGTCGCAAGTCGAGGACTTATCAGCCGCAGTGATAAATCCGGGTCAGTGGCCAAGCGTCTGAACTTGGATCACGTGACCCCGCTCCCCGGGGAATGCCGCGACAGTCATGAGTGAGAAAAACGGTACACAAGTCGCTTCCGCCCCCCCAGTGTAACTTTGAACAGTCACTAAAGGAACCGTCGTAGGTTGAGGACTGCTGTGTTTGGAAATTCCACGACATTTTTAACCTGTGTTTCCAACCCCGTGTTCAGTGATATTAATCGTCGGCTTGTTGTTGTGTTTTTCCCCCAGCGGCCTGATCATTCCCGAACGGGACAGCAACGAGACGGTCCCCGAAGTGGCCGCCAGCTCTGGCTATGCCCTTCTGCACTTCTTCAGCGACGCTGCGTACAACTTGACGGGCTTCAACATCACCTACCAGTAAGCTGCTCCTCTCCTGCGCCCCCAAACTTTACGCAGGCCGACGTCCACCGTGGAGACCGGCTTCTCCATCTCGCTAAGCGAGACGTTTGCGAGGTGGCTCTTGCCCCACTTTGAAGACCATTTTCTGCCCACCGTTGTCCCCCTCGACTTTGCTTTTGTCAAGACGGGCGTAAAAGCTGCCACCGTCATAAATACGAGGTGCCAGGCGTATGGGTTTCCATCATGCGACCAATGGGTGTGGGGAACGCTGCAACGGCCGTTGAAGTGTGAAAAGCGGTCACAAGCCACTTCTTGCCGTGCCGTTGTAACCCCAGATGGTCCCTAAGTGAGCTGTTGTAAGTCGGCGATTGCCTGTGTAAAAAGTTATGTTGTATGAAAGGAAGGTTTCTTAACATTGCGTCGGTAATGTTCTTTCGAAAGAGGCATTTGTAAAGCCTATAGCAAGTTGCTCACCTGAATCAGAAGAGCTAGTCTAAAATCTGGTGATGGCCACCTAGGTAGGCAGGAAAGGATCATATATGTGTCATACATCGCCTGCTGTGTTTGTTAACGACAGCCTCTTTCATCATTCAAGTTTGTCTTTTAGCATTTTAGAAGATGCTTCCTTTGGATTTAAGGGGGGGGGGAGTTTGATCACCTGATGGTACCAGAATAGCTATCCTGCCACAGGTATTTTTGTTATTTGGCCACAGATCCCGCTGCTGTCTGCTGGTAGTCTGCTAAACGCAGCAGGTGTATCTCCCAAAGGTGTGAAGCCTCTGTCTACAGAATCACCTAGGACCGCTGCTTTAGAAGCTGTTGACAATCTATACGATTGGAAGAGACGGGAGGATGGAGAAAACCGTGTTTCTCGACCCTAGCAACTTTATGATGAGTGGACTTCAACTCCCAGAATTCCCCAGCCAGCATGCTACTGGATGTTAGAAGAGAATATGTGTAGCTCGGGAGTTGAACTGTGGGGTCCTGGGTGCTCTCTGAGCTGGGTGGTTTTCTTGCAGACGTTTCATGACCCTAAATAGGGAACATAATCAGTGTTAGAAGGGAGTGGGGTTTGCAGAGAGGAGGAGGGGGAAGAGGAGGAGGAGGAGGAGGAGGAGGAGGGGGCGGGACAGGAGGAAGAGGAGGAGGAGGAGGACTGTGGGGTCCTTGGTGCTCTCTGAGCTTGGTCGTTTTCTTGCAGACGTTTCATGACCCAACTAGGTAATATCATCAGTGCTAGAAGGGGTGGAGGAGGAGGAGGAGGAGGAGGAGGACTGTGGGGTCCTTGGTGCTCTCTCTGGTTTTCTTGCAGACATTTTATCACCCAACTAGGGAACGTTATCAGTGGTAGAAGGGAGAGGGGTTTGGGAAGAGGAGGAGGAGGAAGACAAGAAGGAGGAGGAGGAGGAGGAGGACAAGAAGGAGAAGGAGGAGGAGG